AACAAAAGCTATCAAACAAAGACTGGAGGTGGTGGGAAAAAAGAGGACCAGCTTTTAAGACTGTAAATGGAAAAATCAGCTTTTGTTCTGAGATTTCAAGGAGTTCCTGAACAGAAAGATGAGAATCTAAAGGAAATCTTAAGTGCAGCATTGGCCCCAATGACAGGTTTAATGGCAAAGGCACTACAAAGTGACTTGGATATGATCTATCGGACATATCCAGAATTTATCAAGAAAAAGAACCTGCCTGGGGAGATAGTGGCGAGATTCTCAAAAAGATCTACAAGAGACGTGGTGCTCAAGGCCACAAATGTGACAACCTTAAAAATCAAAGGCTCAGAAATCAGAGTCTTAAAAAGACATTCCATTTGAAATAAGGAAGAAAAGGAAACAATACAAGAACTTAAACAGCTTCTTGCAGAAAAATTCCACCCCATACAGATGGATAATACCTGAAGGGCTTGTCTTTCAACTATAAAGATAAAAAAGAAAAGATAGACTCTGTATCAAAAGCAAAGATGTTCTTGGAACAGCAACAAAAACCAGTGTGCGATAAAGATACAACAAAGGAACAAGATATGGAAGAAGAAAGCACCACATATGGGTCGGGAGGCTCAGAATCTACGGTGAATAGTAATCCAGAAGAGGAATCTGAATCAGAAAAAGGAGAGGTGGCCCCCAAAGTCTTGAAAGTCAAATGGAAATTTGATAAAAAGAAATATGAAGGGAAGAAATAGATTTACCAGAATTGTATAAGCTTAAAAGTGTAATTGTTTTAAAATGTAGTTGCTTGAATCAAATATATAATACCAGTTTGCAATTGAAGCAGTAGCAACTAGTATATTCCAGTAATTCTTTTATAGAGGGAACTAAGCAAACTAACATTTGTTCTACATGATCCTTGTTTAGCGTTATATTTTAGTTTAGTGTCTTAGTGTTTGTAGTGTATGTAGTAAGAAAATAATTTAAACAAACTTTCATAATGTTTTTTCTAGATGCCAAGAGGGGTGTTTTTTTAATGTGCAGGATCATTCAATCTTGTGATTTTTCTCTTGCATTTTGTACAGTCCCAAGAGAGCTAATCCTCCTGAATATGATACCTGGATATTGTAATTAATTCCCAATGCTTTAAAAAAACACATATAGATTCACAGTATAGAACTATAATAATATAAACAAATTACATTAAACTAAAGATTTATTCTTACATATATTGAAAAATGTATCTTAAAAGATGCAAATATTCAGGGATAATCATTCAATATTATTATAATGTGATGATAAATCTGTTCCTCTAACATATTATAAAACTACTTATTGTTCATTGTAATTCTTACAACAGCCGTATGGTCAAGTCTGTATTATCATACCAATATGGGGGGGAGGGCTGACAAAGTGTAGTTTCCCCAGGGTCATCTCATGGGTTCACAGAAGAGATTCAAACCAGGAATTCCAGACTTAGTTCAGGATCCTGGTCACTATGTGCTATGTCTGCTCTTTAGATTTTTGGTGGCTTTTGATAGTATTGATAAGGAGTACTGGCATTGCATAAAAACATTTCAGTGCATGTATTATTCCACTGGATAAGATGGTTCAGAGGACTGAAGCAAGGTGCCACCAGTATGTTAACAACTCTTCCTCTTTTCCTCTCACCTCAGTGGCTGGTCATCAATAAGGATCAGAAACAAGTGAGCTAATTGTAGATGAATCTAGACAAACCTGAAATGATGACAGCTGGCCCAAACTTTTGTCAGGGAAGACTAAATATTCCTATAAGAAATAAAATCCAATTTCCTTTGTTCTAAATCTTTAAATAACTATCACAGATTATGTTTTGAAAGATAAGAAAGTAGGATATGATCATCACATTAGGAATAATGTGGCTGGTATGCTCAGCAGTTCATGAGTATAATTAATAAATCAGCCAAAGGTTATTCCTCCATATGCCTTCCACTTTATGTTAAAAATTTAAACAGTGGGAAGGGATAACAAGGTTGTGGAAACAAATGCAAGACCACAGACATTTCACTATATAAAATGAGCATGCAACCTTTCCAACAGTCTAATTTTTAAGCCAATTAGTGTAGCTTATTTAGATTTCACTCAACACATGTTGTTTTTTGTATGGGGGTAATGTTGGGATGGGAGAGAGGTGAGAAATTATGCAGAGGTCTATTTTGGATTCCAAGGAAGTGCACAATCAGTGAAGCAGGATGTGACCTTTTCATACTGCAGTATATGTGAGCTGCACCCCACTATACCTGTGTTATACCTGTGCAATGCAAGCATCATGGCCCCAACTAGCAGGCTTGCTTGTGCAGTCTTGGGACATGGTCTGTAGGTGCATGATGCAGCAACCTTGCTGAAGTTATGCAGTCCTAAATAGGAGACCAGTGCCTTCTGCCATTATGGAAGAAAGGTAGGATATAAGTATAAATATAGAAACCCAGCTAGATGTGGAATGATATGTACAGTCCACGCTTTCCGATTTAACAGCCAAGGCAGTATATACCCATAAAAAGTTAAAAGCCCAGCAATCAGCAGTTTAGATAGGAAAGCAAGGACTGGATCCAATACCATTCCACACTTTTCTTTCCCCTCCAAGTAGTAGGTATGCAGGACTTTAGCCTTTATAAGAAGTACTCTTCTTGTTCAGGCGCTTTTGTGAAGCAGCCCCCCAATACCAGGCTGGGTTAGCTAAAAACAAGGCACTTCTATCAAACAGCTTGTGAGCTCCTGGAGAATGTGCAACAGAATGCTGCCTACGTCTCTGAACTTCAGGATTCATCACCATGTCCTTCTACTAAGTTTTATAAGATCTGCAGTGCCATCCTATGTAGAGTTATTCCAGTCTAAGCTCTCTAAAATCAACTGGCTTAAACTGACATAACTCTGTGGAGGATTGTGATGTTAGATATGCAAAGGAAAACAAGCCATCGGGTTTCTTTTTCCTGCTGTAAAAAGAAATATCTACTCAAATTCACCTTGGAAGCCATTCCAAAAGTATTTTAAAAGCAAGAAAAATGCATCCATGTTGCTTATTTTTCCTTAGGCTGACAAGGAATGGAGAGATCATTCCAAAAATTATTCTGTTTTGCATTTGAAATATTATAATTGCCTCATTACCATAAAGCCTGCTGGTAAATTATTTTCTTTGTGAGTTGGTTTCTCTCTCTTTTTTTGAAGGGAATATGGTAAATCCAAGGAGTTTAGCCTTCAGAAGTGCACCCCTCCCTACCTCACATGTTGCTTTTATGAAGAAAATACTGGAGGTATCCTGCATACCCAGATATTCTTGAGAAGGCAGACTAGTACAGCTAGTAGACTGCACTGTAATTATGACCAACTTGGAGCACAGTGGTACCACTACCAAGAATGCACCCAGGCACCAGATAATAGAACAGCCACCTGTGTAAACATACTACAAAATAAACAGGAAGAGCTTGCAGCAACACTACCAGTGACCAGTGGATTTAGTTGTACAACACTTCTGCGTTAACAGGATAACTGTATCTTGGCATAATGGCATTGTGACTGCTACACACAGTGCTTTGAAAGTTAATCTGGGAACAGAAAAAGGCTAAGGGACATCTCCCCAACCAAAAAAAATAAATGGGATCCTATTGGACTATCAACAAAACCTTCCAAGTCAACTCCACACACATTGAAGGGTGCTTTTGTAATGCAGAAGACCTTTGTACATTCAAGGAGGCAGGTGGTGAACCACCCATTTGCTTCTGTGTGTTCCCTTTTTGACAGCACCAAGGCACAAGGAGTTAATAATTCTAGCTCCTTGTATCTCTGTTTCACCTGGTGCTGGAATGCTGTGGGAGGGGTTTTTCTTGCATAGCAAACAAGTCCCAGCTGAGCTTAATGATGTTATTAGGAATGAAAAAGACACACAGGGGGGAAGAAGGGAAGAGGCCCACTTGAGATGACCAGACAGACCCACTGCTGAGGACTGCATATGTGTGGGTATTCTTCTTGTTTTGTTACAGGATTGACCCACTGCTAAGGATTGTATGTGGGGGTATCCTTGTTGTTTTTCTTGAATTCGTCTATTATTGGGTAGTAAATAAAGAACCGCTTTTTCTCATAAACCTGTCCTTGCCTGTTGAAATCTGAAATGAGCCATTTGCAAATATGGGCATTACAGATTTGTCTTTAACGGTTCATTCATACATGCAGGTTACTGAGGACCTTACCCCAAAAAGAAGACATTACAAAAAAATACTCCCTTCTGTCCCACATGTGTCTGCCTTGGACCCATCAAGCAGATATGATCTACGGGTACCATGCTTGGAACTTAATTCCCGGGTGTGTGGACACCCAATTCAGATGAAGACCATGACACACCGGGGGGGGGGGGATTAACCCATTATCCCCTGCATAATTTTTCAGAAATGGCCCTAGGGAGCTATTTGCCACACTGGGGAAATGTATGTACACCAATAGATCACATGTATGTTTCCCCAGTTATACAAATACCAGCTCTCCCCAGAGCTGTTTTAGATCAGGAAAACTGTGCAGATAGGAAGACCCAAGCCCCCCCCCCCCCCCCCCGGCCCACCCCCAACACATGCCTGGAAATTAATTTCCAAGCACGGAGGGCACAAAGCATTCTGACTAACATGAGATGGGCAGACAAACACAAGGACTTAGTAATGTGTAGCTGGGTCCTGTGTGATCTTCAAGGCATAAGCATCCAGTACAAACTGACCCGTCCTACTGTCTCCAGTAGAGGAAGAAAGGAAGACAAGGGACTATGGGATGAGCTCTTTGCCTGTGGGAAACTTAGCAGGATGGACCATGCCTGCCTTTAGCACCAGCCTTGCTTCATAGCAGCGAGGAGGAAGGAGGGTGAGCTGAACTACTGGGATTCCAGCAGACTCCCGCCTTCCACAAGAAGATGGGAACTATCTGAGCTGCAGTTTGCTTCAAGTCTGCAACCCATATGAAATCTAGCCATCCTCTCAAACAACCAAATAAAGAATACTCACCAGCCTCTCGGACATGGGCGTCTTATCTCCATCTGGTAAGTGTTGCTCCAGAGCCAGAACAATACAATTAGCTATAATTGTAGCCAAAATCATATATTCAAATGGAGTGGAGGCAATAGTTAAGGGAAAGAATTGAACAACATTACTGATTCACGCAACTGTATTGATAAAAACTAATATGTAAATGACATTTGCAAACTTCTTGCAAGAGTGACTTAATCAACATTAAGTAACACAAGGAATTTGTTTTTTCAGAACACTCTGACTGTCTTGTTTGTTGTGTCCTAAATTACATTTTCTTATAATTAAAAAATCCTAGGCAAAACTATGAATATTTCAACAAATTCAATGAATTGCTCAAAAAATTTATGCTTTGGAGAAACATGTTTGGTAACTCCTTTTAGCTCCTGCCATTTAAGCCTAGGTAATTTATGATTCAACTGAAAAATACATGTTCTAGTTCAATTATGGATGATTGTGTGTGATTCCCCAACTTATTCTCTTGGTTTGCATTCCCCTACCTGTGAAATGGTAATAAATAGCCAACCTCACAGGACAGTTGTTAGAAGGAACAAGACACTGGTCATTTAACAGCTTACCACACACACAGAAATCCAGAAGACCCCAAATGCCAGTTCTAGCAATCACTGGACTGCTATTTATATAAAGTTTTCCCCAAAGACTCAGAGGGTTTTACATAGAATATAATCCTGATCACCATCTTGTAAGATTATTACTTGTATTGATGGAGGATATAGTGTAAGTCAATGGCTTGCTGAGAAGGCAACACAATGCTATCCTGTGATAAAAAACAGGCAATTCCGTTTACTGCTCATGCTCTTTGCCACTATGCTATGCCAGTGCACTAAGCCACTATGTGGAGTGAGATCTCCAGTGCTCTCAACTTTGCTTTCCACAGGGAAAGGCTCTTATTTCATGTAACATGGCCTTTATCTTTCATTTTCTGCAGCACGTACATTACTGGATCCCTGCCCAACTCCAGGCTGAGGCCCAGATGGCAGGAAAGTGTTTCAGTACCATGGAAAGCTCCCCTGGGCACCAGGCACAGTTTGATTTAAATATTCCACCAGCAACCCCCACAGGCACATTGACGTGCTAGCACACACCCAGATCTCTGCCTTGGAATATCCCTTCATTCACCCCAAATTGAGCACGTCTTTCAAACAGTGCATGACTGAATAGGTTCTGAACTTTACGATCAGCTCTTAGTCCAGTGATGCAACAAAAAGGTTACTCTACTAAGTGCAACACTTTAATCCCCACAAGGTCTTTGCTGCCTGGCTTATCTGCAGCAGTCTTTAAACACCCAGATACAGATGGCTTCTCCTTCCTATGCACTTGATAACACTAATGCAGCTATCAATGGATTCTATTTGTCCTATCACTGCATTCCTCGTACAACCCTCAAACACATATCTTCAGCTGAGGAGGATGGCAGTGTTGCTAAGAGCAGGGCTGGTTGCTGTTCTATGAGGATTATTAACTGTGTGACTTCAGATAAAAAGAAAACAACAGAGCCCCCTGGGATGCTGTGTGCAGTGTACTCCTGGCACTGGTGCAGATCAGCCAATACACATTTACACTTGCACGCACAGAGAACGAGATACTCCCTAGCAACCTAACCCTAAGCACGTTTGAAGAACCTTCATTTGCTCGTTCTGTTAAAAGGACTCCAAACCCGACTGCATGCAGCACAAGGATGAAAGGGAGGAACTCTTCCAGAGGTTGGCTAGCTATATACCCCCCTCTCCTTTACCGAAACAAAGACTGAGATATTCCTGATCCAGACTACTATAGCACCTAGCAGTTATGACCCTGGTTTCTGATATAGCCAGTCCATACCAAGAGAAGTATTAAGCCTCGTGGGATGCAAAGAGCAAGCCCGATCAAGTGGGATACACTCTCTCTCTTGTTCTGAGGTAGCTCTCTCTTTCCCACCCCATGGACTGATGCTGCTAGGCAAGAAAAAGCCAAGAGACTCTGAGATGACAGCAAATGCCCATACTGACCTGTCACCAGTTCAAATAGTCTGTGTCTTTTATGTACACCCACATGCTGAAATCACAGATAAGCAAGAGGGAGGATTATACCTTCTCTATACATTTTGTTCCTGCTTGTTTATGTGCTGAAAGGCATACAAATTTCTGTAACTCTGCCTACACTTCACACTTGATTTTGGCAGAGCGTAGCTTCTTCTCCAGTCAGAAAGCAGCCTTGATGGCATATGCAAAAACTTGCAATATTGGTAAAAAAGAAAGATATTGACACATTCTAATTGCTTTTAAGAATGGAACAAACCCAGCATCCATTGGTGGGCATCATCCAGTCCATGCAAAAATCTCTCACAACCAATGCTCCCTTTAAGCTGTAGAGTCTTGTGAGCAAAAATTCTACTTTGTGAGCTACTGGCATTAAAGTTGTGATTGATTTGGCTACTGAATAAATCAGTTTGCTCTGGAGCCATACTTCCTGAGCTAAGACAAAAATCTGTGAGCTGGAGGCTAAAAATCTGTGAGCTAGATCACATTAACTCAGCTTAGAGGGAACACTGCTCACAACCTGACTAAACTATCAGAACATGGCTCCAAGCGTTTTGCCAACTCTGCATAGGGTAGTCTGATGTTACAGAGGACTGATTAATGGAATGAACAAGCATAAACCAATAAGAATGTGCAGGAATCCACAGCAAGGCTCTGCTTCTATAATGCCATAGCCAAATGTGCAAAATGAAAGCAGAGCCTCATTGAACACAACTGGCAAAGCAAGAGTCTTGCCAGCACTTTTGGAGACAGATTTTCCTTTATATTGTCCCCAATAAAGCTGGTGTTTCTTTGAGACAAGATTTGTTATGGGAAATTGCCATAAACAGGCAAAAAAATGACTTTCTGTGGTGGACAAGAACTTGAGGCTGCTACTTATAGTGCAGAAAGGCAAGTCACACCAACATGATGGGGTAGAGAAGGCACTGTACAAAGAGCTCCCCAGGGAAACCAGCCCTGAGATTCTTCCCACACATGACTTCAGAAAGGGCAAGGAAGAGATGAAGCAGGCACCTGTGAGTGCCTCAGTGCTTAAAGGGGAGGAAAGAGTTAACTTGCTCCTTCCGACGGAGTGAAATACTCCAGAGGAGAAGAGCGAGTTCTTTCTGTCAGAGCGAGGGCACCTCTCCGTGCTCCCCTAGTCCCTGGATGAGAGTAAGCCTCCGGCGACACCCCAGGGAAGGGAACCCCGGGGAAAAGCAGGCGGGGAGGAGAGCTCCCGTTCTGTCAGAAGCAGCCGCGTTCAGGAGCGTCGGGCTGCCACAGCTCCGGAGAGAGACGCGTCCGGCCCCGGCCCCAGCGCCGGTCACACCCAGTTCCAGCAACGTGGCGTGCGGTGCCCGCCGCCGCCTCTCGGCCCCGCGCCACGCCTGGAGACCCCCGAGAGGAGCCCTGAACTGTCTGTCTCTTTCTCACACACACCCCTGCACCCCCC